TATATATATATATATATATATATATATCTTATGATTAAATTTTTTTTTTTTCACTGTGTTTTCCAAAATTTATAATTTATAGACATTTTGTTATCATCCATGAAGTTTTTATTTTAAATTTTTTAGGAAGCATCTTTAGACTTCTTCCTCTAACTCAACGAGTTAGGGTATATTGTGCTATTAGGGGTTAACATATTGAGAGAAATCTTGGGTTGAAATTGAAATTGTGAGGTATAATCAAATTAAAATGAAATCAACAACTTCTCAATATATTTTTGGTGCTTTATCACCTTGATTACGTCTGCTTGCCATCTGAAGTCACAATACACTTTTCACTCAATCGATTCGAGCTTCAATATAGCATCTAATCTACGACCTTATACCTCACAATTCTAATTTCAACCCAAAATTTCCCCCAATTTGTTAAACCCTAATAGCACAGTATACCCTAACTCGTAAAAACATAAAAATAAAAACTGCACTTAAATAAAGTTAATGGAAGATAATAGAATGTCTATAAATTGTAAATTTTGGGAAACACAATAATCAATTTTGCTATTTTTTTTTTTCAGTGATCAAATTGAATTTTCGTGTAAAATTCGGTGACAAAAAAAGTATTCGACCATGTATCTTAATTTTTTGTGATATATAAGTGTACCACGTCCTTTTGGTAAATGCTACCTGCTACCAAACAGAATGGGCCGGGATTCTTGACTATTTTCATACATATGGTATGGAAGGCTAGCTATTTTTTGTTTTTGAAAATACAAGGGACAAAGAGGATCCCTGCGGATCCTTAAAGCATATAAATTAAATTTTATTCTAAATTACAAAACACAACTAGGAAAGTTTGAGAACCAAATATAAGGATTATCAAATTGATGTCCAAGATTAGCTAGACTATCATCTACCATGTTAGATTTCTCTGTAAACATATTGAATAAGAACCATCAAAATTGATTTTTGTTGTAAATTCATAGGTTATGATGCCTACTATAATGCCCTCCATAATAGCCATCATAAGTCCACTATAATTCCTCTAATTATCATGGTAGGATTGTAACCTATATGCACTACAATATTTATCATTTGTAATTATGCCTTGTAACCACCACTTATGGGTGGTAAATGATGATGTATTTCCTATGCCTATAATTAGTAGACACTAAAGATGAATAAGAGAGTAGAGAGCCTTGAGCTATTGGGAACTACTCTTTACCTTTTCCATGAAATGAAAATGATCCAATTGCTTCAAAATTGAATACTTTGATTAAGTTATGAATTCGAATTCAAGTTTAATATTTTTGCAACGTATTCAAATGTTAAAAGTTCAAAAATATTTAGAATTCTTGAAGAACCTATAGAATTTCTCTCAAAGCATACAAAAATTTATATGAATAGCTTATTATGCCATATAACTTGTAATGCTTTTATCATCATACAGGTAACATATGAGCTCATTTTATTATTGTATTTGATTATATTCTTACTTATTAAAGAGAGTGTATGAATTATTTTATGAATCTTTCTAACCATTTAATATAGTGAAATGTTTTATGAAAATAGCCTAGATGTTGTTGGTATTACTCTAATCTCAAGAGAGATTAAATGAATGACAACACTTATACATTCTGCAATGGTATGGAAGCAATTTTTATACAAAGCATTATCGAAGCTCACTCTATAGGAGACAAACATGTGACCAATATCATTTGTACTGCATCTTCAAATTAATTCAACCACGCCGTTATCAACGGGAGCATTCAACAATTTTCTACATACAAGATATGCGTAATGTGGGCATCAAGACCGAAAAACCGGAAAATTGGAACACCGAGCCGTACATGATTGGAAAAAACCGTGTTGACTTAAAAATTAACAAATTGACATTGAACTGAACTAGACCGATTCAAACTTAAAAATTAAGCCTAAAAAATAAATTTTCAGTTGGAATTTGTAAAAAATAAAAGTTGAAAAATATATAATAAAAAATCCGGTCCAAAACCAGAAAAAGCACGGAAATCGGTTTAAACTGAACCGACCAATTTCATAAAAAAAAAATTCAGCAAATCTAAACTGAACCGCACTAATTGAATAGCATCGGTTTTTGTGTGAGATGGAAACCAAATCGGACCGGACTGCACCCATCCCCTACATATGCACACTGTACTCTTTCCCTTTGATTAGATTTTTATCCCACCGAATTTTTTCTACAAAGGTTTTAACGAGTCAAAATAAGCACGTCCATGAGGTGTTCGAAACCTCATGACCCCAACTTCAAATATATTTAGGAACTTTTTGCTACTGCCAGTTCGGTTGGATCAAACCGTGAGCCGAACTGTTCTTCACCAAGCCGATTCAGGCGGTTTTTGGGTTAAAAATTCCAGTCCTATTTGTAGTTGTGTTATATTCTGTAAAAACAAAAAAATTACTTCAGAAATGTGATGAACACCTGGACTGCGTTGCAGCGAATCAGATGAGTTCGGTGACACACGCAAACAAGCAAAAATTGTAATAAAGAAAAGAAAAAACAAATAAAGTGAGCAGGACGGAGGGGATTGAGGAAGGAATTGCGTGAAAAAGCCAATGACTCTTGGTACTGCCTCGCTATTAAGCTTCGCAGCAAGCACAAGAACACAGCTTCTCGTTGCCGTTTAATTTCTCAAATTCTCAGGTGAACAGTCTCGATTTGCTCTCTTCTCTTTTTTTTGCTGATCAATTTCCTTGTCTCAATTTTGGTTGATTTTGTCGAAGGATTGAATATTCATTTATGAAATTGAAGTTTTAAGGGGTTGTGTCGAATTTTTCTGTTTGATGATCAAGAAAATTGAGACAAACAAATAAGAAAGTGAATTTCTTTTGTAAATTTTAGACTTTTAGCTGTGAAGATGAAATGGGTTTGCTGTATTTGGAGGATAAAGCAAGGCTGAGGAAGCTCCGGGTTCATCTTGTTTCAATTGCTATGGCCAGTGCTTTTTTTTTTGTTCGGATATGCCCATTTAGTTGATGATATCTTATGAACCTTTTTTTTTCTTCTTTGATCTGAATATTTTAAGACTGACGATTTATCTTTTTTTCTTATATAATTTAGCTGTTAGAAACATTGATTGATTTTATGAGGCTTTTATAATATTTGGGTGCTTGTCAAATCTTGAATTGAAGGAGGCAATATGGTGGACAAGGTTGTTTCAAGTGATTTGCATTGCAGTCTCTTGCTTGCTCGTTTCTCTTTTTGTTTTTGTTTTTTTTCAAATGAAAATGTGATTTGCTTTTTGGTAATTGACGTTGGACATTGATTCTTAATTCCTCATACGATCCCTTATTTATTTAGATTTTCAGTTTTTTGTAGATATGATGGTAGAATTGTGATTGAAGAGGTTCAATTTGATTATAATCTAACGAGGTTGGAGGAAGATACCCATGGGGACTATTTTGAGCTTGAACCATTCCAGGACTAGAGGGAATGAACCTTATGAGGTTTTACAGAGTGCACCATGCAAGAGGCCAAGGTTGTCTTCAAGCTTTTATGAGAAAAACCCGAGATTGATTCCCTGCCTTCCTGACGAGATATCTATTCAGATTCTTTCCAGAATACCTAGGATCCACTATTTGAAATTGAAGTCGGTGTCACGGACCTGGAAAGCCACTATTTTGAGTGCTGAACTTTTCTCTTTGAGAAAAGAGATGGGAACAACAGAGGAATGGCTTTATATATTAACAAAGGTCGCAAATGATAAGCTCATATGGTATGCTCTTGATCCTCTGGCCAGAAGATGGCAAAGGTTGCCACCAATGCCAAATGTTTCTCGTGAAGATGAATCTAGGAAGGGTTTAGCTGCCCTTAGAATGTGGAACATGGCAGGCTCAAGTATCAGGATTACAGATGTCATCATGGGTTGGCTTGGGAGGAAGGATGCAATGGATCGAATGCCATTTTGTGGTTGCTCTGTTGGGGCTGTTGATGGCTGCCTCTATGTGCTAGGGGGATTTTCCAAGGCTTCAGCCCTGAGATGTGCATGGCGATATAACCCAGTTACAAACTCTTGGAGTGAATCAAGTCCAATGTCAATTGGTAGAGCTTATTGTAAGACAGGCATCTTAGATGATAAACTTTATGCTGTTGGAGGGGTTACTAGGGGTCATGGTGGATTGACCCCTCTTCAATCAGCTGAAGTATTTGATCCAAAAACAGGTGTGTGGTCCCAAATACCAAGCATGCCCTTTACGAAAGCTCAGGTCTTACCGACTGCATTTTTGGCTGATCTGCTCAAGCCTATTGCTACTGGAATGACTTCATACAGGGGAAGGTTGTATGTTCCACAGAGTTTATACTGCTGGCCCTTTTTTGTTGATGTTGGAGGAGAGGTTTATGATCCTGAGGCGAATTCATGGGTTGAAATGCCCATTGGCTTGGGGGAGGGTTGGCCGGCAAGACAGGCAGGGACGAAAATGAGTGCCACTGTTGATGGTGAATTGTATGCACTGGATCCTTCTAGTTCTCCTGATAATGCAAAGATCAAGGTATACGATTACCTAGCTGATGATTGGAAAGTTGTTGCAGAAGATGTTCCAATTCGTGACTTCACTGAATCAGAGTCTCCCTATTTGCTTGCTGGATTCCTGGGGAAGCTTCATGTGATCACAAAGGATGCCAATCAAAATATTGCTGTTCTGCAGGTGTATGTGCAGAACCATGTTGCTTCCATCTCAGCAGCTTCATCCTCATCACTCGTTGACCCCATTGAACATGCTGGACGACCAACAGAATCAGAACTAGATCTTTGGAAGGTAATTGCCACAAGGAGTGCACTGGCGACTGAACTGGTTAGCTGTCTGGTCCTTGATATTTGATGATTGCACTTCTCTTAATATTGTGAGTACAGCTCAACACGGAAAGTGTTGGTTGATATGATTGCTGTAAGTTTTTCTTACCCTTTTTATCCTTTCAAAGTGTGAAATTAGCATCAACTCACTGTGATAGCTCTTTACTGGATGTAAGCAAAATTATAAGGTTCAGGATATAGCGTACTCTCTCCATATTCATAGTATAAGGCCGGTTGTCTCAATCTATTTCCTTTTCCGTTCTATCATGTTGTTTTTGAATTTATTTCGTAGTTAGCTCAATTATCTCTAGGTTACATTAAATACACATTTTTAGTATTTTCTTTATGTTTGATGGTGGTACATCAGATATTGATGCATTTCTACTGAGAATGGGATGTTGGCCAGGAGGGATCCTGAGCAATTTTTGGTTGCAGAACTAGTTAGATTAGTTGGGCACGGCACTGTGTTTGCCCCTTGCACGGCACTGTGTTCGAATACCCCTCAAAGAAATTTAGAATAATTTAAAATATCGACTTGTCATCACGAAGAAGGTATCTTTGTTTTGGTCGTGTACGTGAAAAAGAAAGGAAAAGCCAATGACAAAAGTATATTTATTACAAGCCAACGATGTTCTGAGATATCAAACTGTAAAGTTGGGCCAACCCAAGCTCATCTGATTTAGCCATGCTAACTGTGCTTCTTATAGAAATAGGGATTTAAGCCTAGATGAGGCCTCCAGAATAGACTCTCTGTGGCCAAAAGCACTAATTCTCAGGAACTCCTCACCAGATGGACCAAAACCAGAGCCTGGAATTGTAATTATGTGTGCTTTCTCAAGAACTTTGGTGCATACATCCCAAGAATTTGAGCCTGGAAAATGCACCCAAATATAGGGAGCATTTGTGCCGCCATATACTTTTAGACCCACAGAAGCAAATGTTTCAACCAATATCTTTGCATTCTCCATGTAGTAGTCAACCAGAGAACGCACAGCCTGAAACACAATTTTCCATTAACATTATAAAAATGCTAGACATTTCAATACTAAACTGTTAAGAATCCATAGGTAGAACTTGCCCCTAAAAACCGACTGGTAAGGGAAGGGTGCCCAAGAGCTCTTAAACCATTCTGGGATATATTATTTTTTCAATGTGAGATCTTGAGTCCTAACATAAAATCACCCCTATGTATATAAAGAAGTAAAAGCCTTTGGGGTTTTCTTGGGTTTGGAAAGTATGTATACACAATGCATATTATGAAAATGTCAATTATTTGTGGAGATTTATGTCCTTTGAAAGACTTTGCAGCCACGTAAGTGTTCTTCTTCTATTGTTACTATGAAAATACTCATGATTGAGTGAAAATGGAAATGAGCATGGAAAGTAGGAAACATTGAAATGAAGTGGACACATGCAAAATCTTCATGCACACTCACAGGCACACAAAGAATCAACATTAAAGCTGAATATAGATCGGTTCACTTGTTCTGTTTATTTTGGACTTTAAAACTTACCAGGAAACCCTCTGAGGAAAGACATGCCAGTCCACCAGCTTGAGCAATATTGGACGCCCCATTGAAGCAAGTGCACACAATGCGATTGAAGTCATGTATAACAGGGAACCCATTTGAGTACAAGACCTCCTCAGGAACAACTGTCCAACCTAGCCGGACACCGGTGAACCCAGCAAATTTTGAGAATGATGAAATTTCAATGGCAACCTGCAAAACCATGATTATATAAACTCAAAGCATGCACTAAAGTAGTAAAGAAAAACAAAAAAAAACTCATGTACCTCTCTAGCACCAGGAATTTCATAAATTGATCGAGGGCTACCATCTTTTATATAAGATGAATAAGCAGAGTCAAAGATAATAATTGATCCATTCTCCCTTGCAAAATTTACAAGTTGTTCTAATTGCTTCCTTGTTGCTGCATGACCCGTGGGGTTGTTTGGAGAGCAAAAAAAGATAATGTCTGCTCTTGAAGTGGTTGCCAAGTCAGGAAAGAAGTTATTGTGGGGTCCACATTTCATGTATTCAATTCTCCCATACCTCCCAGCTTCATCTTCAACACCAGCCTGACCTATTATGACACTTGAGTCTATGTAAGCCTGCCATGAATATGTACCATTCCACATCAGAATATGCATGAGCTGTGTTAAGTTCATGATTTGGTTGTATCCATACTCAAGAGGAAAATGTAGCATCCATTGGGAAACTTTCTATTGTAAAATCGTATCGAAAAGAATATGAATCCCCAATAGAATGTGTTAATGAATTGAAAAGAAAAAAAATATCATAATTGTCTTGAATGTCACTTTGCATATAATTCTGAGGCATTCTCAATAAGCTTTTGTCTGGAAACATAAGTCTAGCAACATAAGATTACCCAATATCAGGGTTTCCAGAAAACTACAGAGCAGCATGCTTAGCATCCATCACTTGGCATTGAAGAAGATTTGGTGACATTTCGTTACATAAGCTACTAGTATAGTGGTATGCAGTAAAAAAAAGCGACGTAAACTCGTAGTATTTAGAATTATAAGAATTCACCGGAAAGGATGGATCCTGCACAGCAATCGTCACGTTGGAACCCAGCAGTAGCTGTACATACCACATAAGGGAAATCATTGTTTCTAGCATTGTAGTAATTTTCAGAATTTAAGACAGGAAAGAGTGAGCGACACTTGAAACTGAAAAACCAAAAAATAGAAAAGATAACTAGCATCCACCAAACTTAAAACGGCTGAAGTACCTGAAGCCGAGTAATGTCACTCTGTGCGCCATCTGATACAAAAACTTCTGTGTCTTTTATGGGCAGATCTTTATAGAATTCCTTTGCAATTGCCTTCCGCAATGCCTATGTAGAAATGATAGAAGTTTTATGTCATAAAAAGTACCAAGTGAGGACACCATCTGGCTGCAACACACACACACACACGCATGTATATGGTAACACTTTCTACTCTAGAGTTATGTTGCGAGACTGTGAATGTGGACCACACATTCTAGTAAAAACTAACGTGATCAATAGTCAAAATTCACAATCTGGCAAGAGAATTTTTCTAAATTATATAAATTTGATGCACCGCTGTACCCAAAAAATAGTAACTAATTTGATGCACCAGATGATAAATGCTAAACCAAGCAGTATGGCATGTACTATGTACCTTGTTGCCTTGCTCAGGGCCATATCCTGTATAACCGTCCACAGTTGAAAGGGCGTGTGCATACTGCAAAACACCAAAGTATTAAACATTCCAATCCTTCAAAAAGTCCATCCAATTTTTTTCTCTTAACAGTTAATATGATCAACTTGAACATAGTTGAAAAACCAAAATCCCTCATTTAAATAGACATATCCAATTGCAACCTAAATGAGATGTGTACATTGTGTTGTGCTGAGGATGTATTCATATAACAAGAGACTACTGATGTGTTCACAACTAGCCCTGTAAACAGTAAGCACATAAATCCGGAAATGCATCATCTCCATAACCAGGTTTCATATCCGAAAACTAGCATCTTCTCAATCAAACAGGGCATCAGACATTCAATCAATTAGATGTTCTTGATGACAATAAAACTGTCCAAGGCAGAAATTCAATCTTCGATGAAAATTTTGTGATTTATACACAGGATACGAATACTTTTAACCGTATAACAGTAGTAAAAACTGATATCTCAAAAGAAATGTTTACCACCTAATAACATTTGGTTTCTAGTGCACCTTTTACTAGGATTTCAACACAATAACACCTTATGCACTTTTACCAGACCGTACGATATCCCTCTGCCTGAACAGAACATAGCCCTCAGTGAGTTTACATCAAATTATTTCTGCACAAATTTAAAATTACTAATTTGTCTGTGTCCATGCACAGAACAGAATTCCACCTTAAGGCTATTTAATCTTGGTGCAATTTAGGACACAATCAAACACTAAACTAGAAAAATATAGAAATATAATATCTACATTGAAAGTAAAAATTCAGTTGAAATTACTAACATTAGCCATGCTTGATGTGATGATTTGTGGTACTGGTTCTGTTGTATCACCAATCCCAAGGCTTATCAACTTTGCATTTGGGAACTTCTCAATGTGTTGAACCTCAAGCCTTGAAATCTGAATTAATGACAAAAGAATGATGAGCGGTAAGAGATCTCAGGTGATCAAGAGGACACTCAAAGTGCTGAATTAGCAAAGTAAAAGAGACATAAATTTGCTAGACTATATAAATCAACACTAAAATTGAGCTGTGGAGGCAATAAAAGTATCATATTTTGCAGGACAATTTGATTAAAAGAGTATTATAAAGCTTCGATCGAGTATAAATAATACTGAAAGTTTAAAGTCAAACCAAATGCATATTCAACCAAACTGAGGAAAGAAAAGGGAATGTAAATAGATTGTTATATCCAAGAAAAATAACAAAAGTAGAAATGAATGAAATGTCATAAAATCACCTCAGGAAACAAATAGCCATTCCGCAATTTCTCCATGTTTACATTGCGGGGTACCTTTGTACGACAACCTGGTTTTAATTACACTTGATCATGTTAGAGATCAAATCAAACATTGAAAAAATTATGATATATGTGTGTGTGCGGGGATAATCGAATGAGGCGATGGAGAAATAGTGCAATTCATACCAAGTAGGTCCTTTTGGGTCTTGAAACTGCATAACAATTACAAACCAAGAAGAAGAAAATAAGGTTACAGATTAACAGAAGAACAATGACATTACTATCTGTGCAAGCAGAAAAGTACCTGGCCTGAACAATAACAGGCTGCAATATGATTGCATGGGACACTAATGTACTAGCAGGAAACTTGTACATTTTCAGTTTGGATTATTGCTCCGGTGAAAAACTTGTATCAGATTCTTTTTGTGATTTGAGACAAGTTGTAGCAAGATTGTTACCAGTCCATATATAGGACACATAATATATATATATAGAATGTGCATTTACCTGCAACATAGTCTATCAAACTTTGTCCATAATAAATTAAAGAATATGTCAAGCTCAAGCTTGATCCATATTTTATGTCAAGGAGGTGACCACTGCATGAAATTCTGCAGTAGACAGTCCCCTCATAAGCAATGACATGTGCATAAGCACTTGTGTGGAATGGGGATAGCACTGTTTTGCTATTCCCGGCCAATCATGGTATCCCATTTCTCACAAGTTATTTTGATAACATGTAAGATCAAATGGTTCACACCATATTTCCACAAATAGTGCTATCCCCACCCAATCACAGTATGCCATATGTGATAACTTTTTCACTTGGCATACCGTGATTGGCAGGGGATAGCAAAACAGTGATATCCCGTATCACACTATTTTTTCTGATAACATTTAAGATCAAATGGTTCACACCACATTTCCACATCCAACATTTATTTTCTTGATAATAGTTGTTGAACCAGAACATGTATGTCATTTGTCAATTTTTAAGTATTACCACTCCTCTATTTTCCACACCACCTAATTTCCTTTTTCAATATTTTCTCCAGTGACCATATCGACTTGGGTAATGCATGGAAAGTGCATTGAGGTTCTTTCCTTGATGCAAAGGAAACCTTTTAAATTGGGTTGTCTTTTTATGTAAGAGGGGAAGAAAATGCAAAGAAGAAAACAAGAACACTTATTCCAACTTTTATTAATAAGACCATACATGTTGTTTTCTTTTTGGATTATACCACTGGGATTCCATGCACTTTGGACCTTCAAAAACCTGTGTTCAAGAACATGTGCATGATTACGACTCATAGAACAAACAAAAAAAAGGGAAAAAAAAGGAAGATTACTTTGCAGTTAATTAGAGTTAAAAAGTCAAGGACATTTGGATACAAAGTTAATGTTGAGACAATATTCAAGCTTAAACTAGAGAAGTAATCAGAGGACTAACTAGGAAGGTGCTTGTAGCAAATCTGTACTTGAGGTCTAAGGTTCAATTCCCTCCTCCCTAGTATCGCTTGTATCAAAAGAAAAAAAGAAATTATCCGAGGACTAATCTGCAGAGTGTCTAAGTCAGCTCTACTTTCAGGCCTTTCATCAAACAGTTAGAAATCAATAAGAAGATCCATATAATGAAATAGAGTATAATATATATCCCACACATACTTAATGCCATTGAAATTTCAGAGCATATGTTCCAGGAAATTGTAAACCAACTAATCATGCATGAATGCCACAAATGTCTAAAATTGACCACGACAACACTTCAAGACTACTCTACTCTGCATCGTCTATTAAAGTGAACCCAACTATAATTAGGATATAAACTAGATTTTTTCCACAAAATATCTTATAATTTAGGATTTAACGTCAACCATGAGCTGCGGAATTCAACGAAAATACCTTTTATTAAAATGAATTTGCTGGCTGGTATGAAAGGATTGAAGTAAATAAAATAAAGTGATGAAATCTTCCGACCAGGACCAAACCAACAACAACAAAAAGTAATGATATCCAATGGGCGTTGAACAAATGTTGTTGTGAGGAAAGGACCTAGCTTAGATTAAAGAAAGTAGCGTCAACTACAAAAAAGAATTCCACAAAACATAATATTCTTTTTTGGAAATATTTTTGCTCATCACTTTAACTCAAGGTGTATCTTTACCACACTTGACACGTGTTCATAGGCCTAACCATAATTAACTCTTTGCTTTGTATTTATGGAGCCATAGTTATAGTCATGGACATGTGTCAAGTGTTGAGTAGGGTGGGGATGGTACATATTGGGTTAAAGTGGTGAGCAAAAATGCTCTCTTCTTATTTAGGTTTGGTTTTCGCAATGGACCAAAATGATAGACCTTGTTACGCTTTGCCTTCTAAACTTCCAATTTGATTTTGAGCCCCCTAATCTTTCAAAAGGTGACTATCATACATAAGAAAGTAGCACCACCTATGGAAAGTAGCATCAATTATATGTGTACAAATTCTAGTCTTTTAATCCTAATTTTATGGTGTGTTTGGATGGTGTATTCTAACTTTCATTGAATTCTTAATACGGAGGAAAAGTAATTGAGTTCAACGAGATCAAAGGTTGATCGAGTTGAAGTCTTTTTCTGAGCAAAAAGTTGTGTCCATGTGTTTTGCCATTCTGCTATATAGCCTCCTTGGTGTTTGAATCTGCACACTTGGTGAAGAGATCTGTTGTCAGTCCTTCTTTTGCAGGTAGAGCTGGTAAACTTGAGTGCTTTGATCCTTCCGTTGATGGTGAGAAATGCTTCAGTATGGCCTCGACAAGTTGGCTCAGTAGAGATTCATGGCTCAAATCGCAATTAATGTGGTTGTTCAATCTTTCTTTTGCTGCCTGATTTCTTCCCAGTTGTTGAAGTCGACTTTAAAGCTTTTATTTTGGGCAAAGTGTCTTTACCCGGGTAAAACCCCCTTTAAACCTTGGATAACAGAAAGACAAATGTTATTGGGATGACTACGATCTTGGGCCTTTCTTTTAAACCCAATTCTCTCTTTAGTATAACATGTGGCCCAAAGCTCATCCTAGATTTTAAAAATCCCTTAATGGTCTTGTTTCCATTTTTGGCCCAAACATTCCCCTCTAAGAGAATGACATGTGCGAACAGCTGTAAGGCGTTGTAAGGATCCGTTTCGGAATACTTCTTTAGGAAGCACTTCTTCTGCCCATAAAAATATATTCTTTATTCAAGTGCTTGTCTATGTTATAAAATAATTTATATGCATCATATCATATACTCTTTAATGGCATAAAAACTTGTATGAAACGGGGATAACACTGTTTTGCTATCCCCCAACGAATCCCAGATTGTCGTGTGAAAAAATTATTACGCGTGGCATAATGTGATTGACCAAGATAGCAAAATAGTGATATCCTCATTTCATGTAAGCGTTTCTCCTTCTGTCCAGATTGCAAAAGAAAAGACATTCCAAATCCCTTCTCCAATCCGAGACTATTGTGTTAAGTCTATTAAGGAGAGTATATTCAATTGAGATTTTAACATATTGTAATGACATGATTTTAAAGTAATGAGTTTCAACCGGATTTGTAATTATATGATTTTAATATATTGCAATTACATGATTTTACTTATGATTTTATTCACTAGGATTTTACTTATGATTTTAATATATTACAATTATAGGATTTTACTTTATATTGCTCACCACATTAACCAAAGGTGTATGCTCGCCGCCACCCTTAAAAGTTGCCTGTCTTATCCTTCTCAGAATCTCTTCTTCTGCAGTGCACTAGTACTTGTAACCAACCAGCCACACCAATCAACAATCAAAGAGGCAAGCTTTGAGTTTTGAAATTGGAAGTAAGACTAAGAGCAAGCATTTCTGTATTTTCTTTTGTCAGATTTTGATTGATTCATAATTTGGTGGTTTATTGGATTTGGAAGATTTTAGTTTTGGGTTTAGGGGCAGCCAAATCATATGGAGGAAGATGAGATGGATTCGTTGTTTGAAGGGATGATGTTGTTTACCCCTAACAATACCAATAATAATCACTCTGCCGTCTTAAGAAAAGTGGTGGTTGTTTTTTTGGGGAAAAAAATGGTGGTTGTTTACTGTACAAGGGAGGGATGAGAGTGTGGGAAAGAGGAGAAAGAGGGGTTAGAGGAGGGGAGGAGGAAAGAAAAAAAAAAGAAAAAGAAAAAGAAAATAAAGGAAGAGGGAAAGGAGGAAAAAGGGGGCCAATGGGTTCCCACCACAATGGTGGTGGATTCCCCCTTCCCCCCATGGCACCCAGGATCGAACCCCAGTGGGGTTTCTTTCCTCCAATGTAACCAAAAAAAAAGAAAAAGGGGGAGTGTGCTGTGATATGGGCCCTTTATTGTCTCTCTTATGACTTTTTTTAACGAAAAAAAGCATGAAAAAATAGTGGGGGAAAAAGTATGAGAGCTTATATGAGAATCAGGCATAGGAGGGTGTGATTTGTTATGTGAGTTGGTATGTATATCACACACTCAAAAGTCTCACATAATACACCATTTAATGAAATACATTAAAATCAGTAAGTTTTTTAATACAATAGTACTTTTTCTTATCTTTTAAAAGTCCTAATTGAATATCACCGAATTTGTATTGATTATTTAAAAATACTAATTGAATACCACCAGACTTTTATTGATTACTTAAAAATTATAATTAAATACACCTGTACTTTTAAACTTCAAAACAATCCATTAAAATCTCAATTGAATACGCAGTCCTAAGGCTTTTATTAAAAAGTAAAAAAATTATCACAAACAAAACAGGCAGGTTATGATTCCTTATTACCCCTTAATCTTACTGTGCGTGAGACCTACGAGCGGGAAATGAGCAACTCTGCGTGAGACCTACGACGGGGAAGAGAAAACTCACGCATCTCCCTCCTCTATTTATTTGCTCCTCTCCGTTTTCTTCAACCAATCAAATCAGCTCCTCGTACTTTTCCTTGAGTTTCTTCTCCTTCCTTTTGCTTTGCTCAGGTAACTCTCTCTCTCTCTCTCTCTCTCTCTCTCTCTTCCGGATTTTACTTGTATGATTGAATGCTCACTGTTTTCTTTATCTTTATCTTTTGAAATTTGAAACTAGACAACAACCCATTGTCACTTGAGTGCAACTTCAATGTCGAATTTCATGGCTGCTGCAAATGCAAATGCAAATGCAAATTCAAATCCAAATCCAAATCCAAACAAGTCCTTTGAGGTAAATTCGGTCGATTTTTCTTTGCTTTCATGTATTTATTTTCTGTGTTAATTTAGTTTGATTTTGTGTAAATTTTAGGTCGCTCAACCTCCAAACGAATCCATATCAAGCCTAAGTTTCAGTCCCAAGAGCAACATTCTGGTCGCCACCTCCTG